TTTGTATAATGGCTTAGTTTGGACAATACTTCTAAAATTTACATTAACATTGAATTCAAATTTCAACAAGAAAATATAAGGAATAACTTTTTTAACTTAAATTAAACTCCCTAAAAAATGCAACTATTCATATTTACAAACGTGTTTACATGCATTAAATATAGCAATTAATAAAGAAACAAAAGTTCCATTATTTATGTTGTTAGTGTGTTAATTATTAACATTAATTATTCATGTTAATAATTAACACACTGACAACACAAATCATGAAACTTTTGTTTCTTTATTAATTGCTACATTTAATGCATGTAGACACGTTTGTGAATATGAATAGTTGCACTTTTTAGGGAGTTTAAAAAGTTAAATATATGATTAGCACGTTTTTAGGGATATTAAACATTTTCAAATTATCATTATTGCCTTAAGTATCTCTAATTAGTTAAAATAATATTTTTTTTGAATTAATTTCTTAAAAAACGTTGTCAACCAGATAATAACCCATATTTTCATATTTGCATTTTCAATTAAATTTGGATCAATGTTACAATTATTATTCATTCCAAAATTTCACTATTATTTTCAGATTGCTTTCAACGTATAAGTCATTTTTTCTAAAAATTCAAGAATATTTTCGTAGCTGCATATTTCACTTCTTTTTTTTTTAGTGACCTGATAAATTTTGGCGTACAATATATGTTTATTTTTAAACTATAATATATGTTTTTGTATTAATTTTGTATTGAAAATGTCTCGTGTTTGTTTAATTGTAGTATTGTATAGGACAGTGAATGATATATTAACTGTGTATGAAGTATGTATGAATTATATGAACGGATTATAAATCTGTGTAACGTTGAAGTCTGAATTTTTTTTAATGCTGTATGAAGATTATACGAAATGTGTATCATTTGTGTATGAAAGTCCATCTATTTTTTTTCAAAATTACAGTATATGTTTCTAATGAAATTAGAATATATGTTTTGTATTAATTTTGTACAGCGGGTAGATAAAAACTTGAAAGATGGAAAGGATTTACTGACGTGAAATTCAAAATTACAAAAATGACTTGCAGTAGATGCCATCAAATTGGACAAAATAGAAAGATATGTTCAAATTATCCTGTGCAAAAACAATAATTTCGTAATGTTACATTTGTTATTGTGTTGTTTTGAATGTTAGAAACACGTTTGTTTTATTGAGTGCAGTTGTTATCATTGACTTTGGTTTCGTAAAAATTTACCATATATATATATATATATATATATCATTTGTTTCTATTATATATGTCAAAGTTCAATATGACATTCATAATTCATACAATGTTTATACATTATAAATATACATTGAACTATATTGTCATTCATAAAATGTTCATATAGTATTCATACAATGTTCATATATGTATCATTTGTTTCTGTTACATATATCAAAGTCCAATATGACATTCATAATTTATACAATATTTATACATTTTAAATACAATGTTCATATATTTTTGCATATTGCAATCGAAATTTATACAAAAATCATACACATTTAATAAAGTGCAATCATTCATTTAAGCATACTACCACTAAATACAATAGTTAATATATTATGACATATATAGTTAAATATATTTAATACAACATGCAGAATGAGTGTTACAAGATCTCTACTGCTGAATTTTTGTGACAAGTCAGAATCATCTGTTGGTTTCATACACCAAGAAGAAGAAGAAGAAATTGATGAACTATGTGAAGCAATAATCTGTATGATTGTTAATGTAGGACAAAAATTTGCTGGCAAACGCACCAAGTTTGTGTACAATAGTGACGATGAATTTGTAGGAGTTAGGGAGGAATCTGCAACTTTACCAGAAAGGATTGACTAATGCTAAAGAAAAAGGAACCTTTACTTTGCAGCTTCACCAACCCAAACCGTTCAAGTCTCTAAACATGCTTATGCCTTCCCATTCAGAAGAATTCTGCATGTATCCAAAAATCATCGTTGTCCAAGAAATAGCGTTTTTAACTTTCATTCAATCAAAATCTGACCTTGCAGTCTTAACCTTACCACACTTCATATAGAAATCAAAAAGAACATTACTCACCGTAACATCCATCTCCGTTCCCCGTCTAAGCACATAACAATGAATTTCTTTTCCTACTTTAATATACTCAAGCGACGAACAAGCACCCAAGATACTCGAAATCACATAATTATCAGGTACAACATCAGTCTCCAACATATTCCTTAATAGTTGCAATGAAATTTCACTCTTCCCCACATTAATACATGCTACAATAATCGCAGTCAAAGTAGCCGTACTCTTCACCAACAAATCATCAAAAACTCGCCTCAATGACCAAACTATCCACCCTTCGAGTAAAAATCGATCAAAGACGTCCCTACATAAACAACGATGAATTATGTATATAACATTATATATACCTTTCTTAAACATTCTATATGAACTTAATGGGGAACTGATATGAGAGGGATGTTTGTGTTTTGGGATGAACTGATCTAAGATAGAGGGATAATGGGGAAGATGATTGAGGTCGGATTTGGTAAGATCAAAAAATGATTGCGTACTGGGAACTGATCGCGCGTGATGGGGAGAGATGAAGTGTATTGGGGGAAGATGATTGTGTATTGGTTGAGATGGGGGTGGATAGTTATTGGGTAACCGTATAATAGGGAATTAATTAAAATCAAATCCCTATTATTTAGATATTGTTTTTTAAAAGGTAACTATATAATGTGAAGTTTAATTAATACTTAATTAATAATAGTTTATTATTTATATTAAAAGCTTTAAAATGTAATTGATTAATCAGTAAGAATTTAAAGAGTTTGGTTTATAAAAGGTAAGTGAAAAAATAAAAGTAATTATTTAAATATATTAATTATTATTTAAATAATAAATTATTTTTGTTAAATTAATATATTATTAATTGATATGGTATAACTTGATAATAATATGCTATAAGTAGTTTATTTTTAAAGAGTATGAATTAATTTTTTCTAATTAATATATTATTAATTGATATGCTATAACTTGATAATAATATGTTATAAGCAGTTTATTTTTAAAGAGTATGAATTAATTATTTTAATTAATATATGATTATATTGATATGCTATAATTTGATAATAATATGCTATAAGTAGTTTATTTTTAAAGAGTATGATTATAACTTGATATTTATCATCTTAAATGTATGTGAGATGTTAATTTTACTTTTTAAACCTTCAACATATGAAACTTGAACTCAAAGAAATATATAATGTAATAGCACTTACAATTAAATTGCTTCTCGTTTAATATGATATCGATAGCAATAACAGTTTTTCAATTTACCTGTCTCTGATTATAATTTTTTTATTAACCACGGCCTATTCAATTTACAAAAAATTGAATGAAACCTGGTGAAAAAGAAATAAATACTTTGCAAAGAAACAAAATAACTTGCTTAAAAAAAGTAAACAAAGCTTCGTATTTATTTTTCTTCGATTACCAGAAAATTCTTTTAGGATGAGGTTGATGCTTCTATAAGCTTTGATCAGAGCTTCTCTTAAAACGTAGATAGTCAGTTATTCGTGGTAAAAAAATATACAATTAGTAGGTGCTGATGCTAATTATTATTGGCATAACTTTATTCAATTAAAGATATAAATAATGTATTAAAATGTTACACTAAAATTATATACAATGCATGATCTTAAGTACAGTATAATACAACTATGTGATATTGAAATGTTAGTTGATACAAAGATTCTAATGAGACATTTCATCTCCCATATAGAGATTGTTGAACTACTTTTATTATTTTTTCCTTAAATTCAAACCTTGGTCTTCCCTCACCAACTTACGTGAATGAATATTTACCTCGTGTTCAGTTCATTTTACCTACTAATTATTTATGATTATCTGATTTTTAAAATTTATTTGTCCAATTAATTCAACTTCAGGTTATGAGTACCGTAAGTGAAAATGCTTTCTGCTAGCACATTCCAGTGTTAATAATAGTTGTGATTTTTCTGTGTCAAAATTGAGCAGCTAATTAGGTAACCAAAATATATGTTATCAATCCCGTACATCATCGATCACAAATTTTTGGTCGTCAATTTTGACTCTTTTGCCTTTTTCTTTTCATTAATGAACACACGTTAATTCTCCATACTTATTTGTTTTTCCATTATTTTTAAGTCAAAAAAAAAAAACTTGCAATTTGACTGCATTTCACATAAGTCTTTGTCGATCTGAGTAAGGATAGACATAGACATGAATTATATTATAAGTAGTCTTTATTTTGACATATGAATGTCAGTGAGGTGGTTAGAAGGGGTAATATAGGAAGAAAAAATGTGACAAAATATACTTTCCTTCCGTCCCATTTTATATGTCACATTTTTTACTTTGCATTTGCATTAAGAAATAATGGAATTTTACTCTTCTACCCTTATTTTATTTTTTTTAGAACTCATCTTCTCAATCAATGAATATGAATTAATTTATTTTTATTAATTAATTTAACCAACAAACATGAATCATTTACTTAGCTTTTTTAAATTGGTCAAATGTATATTTTCATGACTAATAACTCACGGGAAAAAAGGAAAGAACAAAATGATAATTTATGTATTGATTTTATATAATGACAAGTATTATGGATCAACTATTTATAGAAATGTATGACATATAAAATGAAACAGAAGGAGTAATAATACATTTTATCATAACTTTTGTTTGGTAATTTGATGTATTCCAAGGTGAAAGAGTAAGGACTCAGGGCGAAGCTAGAGAGGGATACTAAAGAAGTCGATCAATCATCATTAAATTCAAACTCGTGACACTGTGATTTGAATTGTAATAATTTAGTTAGGTAGAGTATTTCAGTAAAGAGGAAGTCATGTGAAACTCGTTTCCACTTAATCTAAGGCTAATTTTCATAATATTGACACAAAAAATGATTTGATTCATTAGTAGATACCTACCATAAGTGAAGGCTATTTTTTATTTTTTTTTGAGTATAGAGAACAAACATTGAGATATTTTATGAGAATTGTAATTTGTAAATGTCATTTTCTTTAGCCCACAGTACTCAAAATACATTTTTTGTTTTCCATCTATAAATAGAACCACCAACTTCTATGTACTCATTCATTCACTTGTTGTTTTTTTCTTTTATGTTTTCTTGAGATACCAAGAAAATGGAGCCCAAAAATATGCAAAGTTCACCACTGAAACCTTACAAATATTTGTTAGGAACACAAATTTTGTTGAGATTTTTGGCTACAATATTCACATTGGCGTCTACTTTGATTATTTTAACAAGCAAACAGACTGTTACTATATTTGGCCTTGAGATGGATGCACGCTATAGTTATTCTTCAGCTTTCAAGTAAATGAAAATCTATAGCAAATATTTGTATTTTTTTTTAATTATTATTGAAAGTTCTGAATTTTTAGTGTTATTTTTGTGTGCAGGTTTTTTGCTTTTGCAAATATGATTGGATGTGCCTTCTCTGTTTTGTCTCTGTTTCTTGCCTCTGTTTTAGGACATAAAGGTCTTGTTCCAAAGAATTCATTTTACATGTTCCTTCATGATTTGGTACGTCCAACTTTAACTTCTTTTTTTTTTAATTGATTTGTTATGAATGTGGTCGTACTCTCGATAAATGTTGACGCACCTTCATTTTTAAAAGAGTTGAAATCGTACTACAACAATAATAACATACTCAGTGTAGTCCTACTAGTAGGGTCTGAGGATTTGATGTGTATGTATACCTTATCCCTACCTTGTGAATGTGGAGAGATTGCTTTGATAGATCCTCGAGTCAAATAACACATATTGAACGTCTGGAAATAATACCCTTTTTTTTTTCCATCCTAAAATTTCATACAATATTTATTTGCCCAGTTTGTAAGTTTGTTATGTCATGTAAGAGGCATTGGTTATCTTGCTGTCTTTTGATTTGGTTCTATTCTTATGAGGCTTAATCCTAGACTCACTTACAACGCATTTATTCTAAGTTATATATATAATTATTATATTGGGATACTGATGAACCTTGATGTGTCTCGATACTGATGAATATGACCGTAGAGTACAAATCAGCTAGCTTTCACACACTTCTTCTGGTATAAGTTATATTATCATCGTTAAAAAATGAAAATTAAAAGCGGTAGACGTTAGAATAAATGGTGCTAGCTAGTATGAATATATGACCTCTCTTTAGGACCACTCAAACACCAAGTCTTTGGATTGCAGCCTAGACATAATAAAGAATTTTCACACTATCAAATATAACCTTTCTTATTTTTAGGTTATTAATCACATGACCAAATATAATTATTAATCACATGACCAAATATATAAACAAATCTCTAAATTTGTTGAGTTTTTTCCCTCAAGTACCTCAATTATGCTATTTTCCTATTGAATCATTGAACCACTCATAATTTGTTTTTTTTTAACAAACTCGATTGACTGATGCGGAATCAGATTTTGTGAGGGGTACTAATAGAGGATACATATGTTGTTTCAAAACTCATTAGGCCAATTGACAGTGGAAATGTTCGAGAATAATTGTGTTTTACTTCAAGTCATTTGAACACATTAGAAAACAAAATGAGATTCACAGAGTTTTTTTTTCAATCCTTCAATCAAAATCGTTATAATACGAACACAATTGAAGACATTTACCATGGAAAAGCCGATCAAAATCAACCAACAGTGTTTAAAAGGAACATTTTATGGGTGGTTCAATGATTCAATAGGAAAATGACGTAGTTGAGGTACCTTAGAAGAAAAACTCAACAAGTTTAGAAATCTGTTTATGAGTTCGGCCTAATCACATAATTTATGAACGGTTATCTATACTTATCTTTAGTTAACATAGACAGAGAATGTAAAGTTCTGCTTACACCTATTGCATATATATACTATATACTCGTCCGTCCCAGTTTATGTGGCATCGGAAGGAGTAATAGTTACATTGAACTCGAAGTATTGTATAAACCCGAGATAATGCATTATACACTATTTCTATTAGTATATAAATTTTGAAGCAGTAATGTGAATGTTGGAAGTTTGTTGTGACCACAGATTGTGATGGCAGTGCTGCTAGCTGGATGTGCAGCAGCAACAGCAGTTGGATATATTGGAAAATATGGTGAGATGCATTCAGGATGGATGCCCATTTGTGAACATGTTGACAAATTCTGTCACAAAGTAACAAATAGTGTCATCCTCTCATACTTTGCTGTGTTTTTCTACCTTTGTCTCACCATTATCTCTGCAAATCAATCCAGACACATCCAAGTTTAACATTCCACAAATATCATTTTCTTAACGTTACATATCAAAAAATGCGCGTTGTATGTTCGTTTTTGGCTTACTGTACAAGATGATAATATATCAATCTTTTAGTTTGTGTACTTAGTCACGTCCTTTCTCGTCACTTCTTTTTATACTCAAAACAATACTTCAAAATCTTGTTGTAATTGGAAATGATTATCAAAAATGTGCGTTGTATGTTAGTTTTTTGCTTTGCTGTACAAGATGATAATATATCAATATTTTAGTTTGTGTACTTAGTCACGTCCTTTCTCGTCACTTCTTTTTATACTCAAAACAATACTTCAAAATCTTGCTGTAATTGGAAATGATCAATCCCTAACCAACAAGGAATTATAAATCAAAGACAAATTAATTAAAACGGAAATTAGGAAATGATCATTATTAGCGCATTTTGGCATGGCCCTATTAATCTTTACTACTTATGTAACAACTAACATATAAAAAGGATGGCAGGGGGTAATATAATATTATGTGTGTATTTTAATATGTATTGGTAGGAAGACAAAGGTTTTTAATAGATTTTTTTGTCCTGAAAAATAATAAGTGCCTTTTAATTCATTTTTTAATGAAAATATATTATCTAAAAAGTATTTATGCCTAATCTAGAATTCCAATTATCACACTTACTATTGGATTTTTGTCTAGACTAACATACGATCCGAAAATAGTTAAAATATAAGAAAAATGTTTTATTAAATAATGTAGGTCTTTTTTTCAAACAAGGGTGAAGTAATAGGTGATAGATAGGGTGGGGAGTAACCAGTGTTCTAGACGGGGAGGAGATAAAAGAACTTGAAATGAAATATATTTTTCTACTGAACATGGAAAAACTCGTATTTCTAAGTAATTTCGAAATATTTTAATTTATTAAGCATGAAAAATATTAAAATATAATTCGAAAAATGGTTTCTTCCGTAGGAAATCCACCCATAGCTTTATTAAGTTTTGCTGCACACAAATCAGGGCAAAAATGCTTTTTTTCGTTAGCAGCCTTAGTACTTCTACATAGTACTGTCAGTAGTTTTATTAGATTTTCGAAATTTAGGTAACTGACTACAAGAAAACTAGCTAGACTTTTTCACTGTTATTTTTGTGTTGTCAAAATTTCTTATTTCATGTGAAGTAGTTTAATTTGATGTGAGATTTTAATTATTTTATTAAAAATTAAAATTAATACTTTATATATAAATTATTATTTAATATAAACTATGTTATTCTAAGGACTAAAAAGAAAATTAAATCAATCAATTAGTACAATTAGAATTTTTGCTAGTCAATTCTATTCATTGCAAATAAATATCTTTAATTAATCTTCTTCTCCTATTTTTTTTCCCTTTGTCGAAATGGGATAAAGCACATTCATTAATGAACATGCTTTGTTCCATCTCTCCATGCTTTGACTGCATTTAACAAAGTCTTCATCAATAGATTCTAAGAATGGTAGAGGTAATATGCATCAAATTGCTAAGAAATATAAACATCAAATGTCTCAAAGCAACTTAATTTATAATTTATTTTTATATGTATAAGTTAATTTATGTCTTAATAGACACCACAAAAATGAACTTAATGTAAAATGCGAAGTATATATCAAGGTGATTTCATATTTATGAATAAAGATTATTGAATTTTATCGGACCCAAACTTTTTATTCTAATTTACCTAAACCGATTATAAGATGGTGGAGAGGATTTTGTGGCGTTTAGTTAGGGTAGTGGCAGGAGCCAGTTTAAACATTGGAGTTGATTAGTTAGTTTAATATATCCCATTTATTTATATTATTAATAAAATTAAGATATTTAAAAACGAATGATGTGTGAATCATTAGAATGTAATCTTTTTCAACATAAGTGCGTAATTTATTTAGATTTTAGAATAATAAATAACAATTTAAATAAAGAGAGTAATATAATTAGAACAATATAAATTTTTTGATAAATAAAATTATTTTTTAATTTCAAAAATGAAATATTTATGTGTAAATAATAGTAAAAATGATTTATTGTGATGTTGATGGTTGGTTTTACTAACTAGAAATGATGGTACTGATAGTCATATCGGTCTCTCTGTCCCCAATAATTAATTTTCGTTGACCACGTCCTATAGGGATCATCGAATCAATAGCAATAAGTCTGATTTGAAGAGGCTCATATACGGAACAACGCGAAATAATACCGGGGGCGGCAGATTCAATTAATCGAAATTCAGAAGCTGAAATTTCACCTCTACCATCAATAGGTTTAGCCAGGACATTTACAACACGACCCAAATAAGCCTCACTCACGGGTATCTGAGCAATTCTTCCCGTTGCTTTTACACAACTTCCTTCTTGTATCAACAAACCGTCGCCCATTAATACAACACCAACATTATTTGATTCCAAATTCAGAACAATACGTGAAGATAGTTAATATTATAGCGATTATTATGATGTTAATTAATTAATCAATTGTATTAAAATAGTATTCGAAGACTATATATATTTAACAATGATAGTATTATATAACTGATGATAATATTAATTGTAATAACGAAGATGGTACGAGAATGTGATAGTGGTACCTAATTCATAGTCATCGAAGTTATTCTAACTTTATACTAGTAATTTCACTAGACAATTTTGTTTTGAAGTCTGCCTTTTTTGGGATCTCTAACTCCCAATTTGTCATAAATTGATTGTCGGTTGGTTAATTTGTCTTGATTTGAAAATTATAACACAATTTTTTTTTCATTTTTACATGTTAAAATTAATTTAATCTAATTCAATTTTTAAAATTAATAAAAATATAATATGACAAATAAAAATGAACGAATGACGTAATTAACTCGATGGAAGAGTCCAATCGATTGGATAGATAAAAAAATACTCTTTTCATCTATTTTTATTTGTTATGTTATGTTTTTATTAAGTCAATTTGACTATGTTAATCAGATTTCATCAATAACAAAAGATATAGATATTCAGAAACTACTCAAAAAGTATTATAATTTTTTCATACAATATGATGAAAAAATATATCAGAGTGTTTACAGTTTGATTCGTAATTAATTATTTTTGTTTTTACTTATTTTCCCCGAGAATTAATGTTTATTTTTTTGTTCGTGGGCAGTTTTAAAACTTGTAAGTAGCTTTTTTGTCGGTTTTAAAAATGATCCATTAACTTCCTCTCTATAAATAGTAGCAGCAACCTCCACTCGCCCACCACTTCATTTCAGTTTTTGTTTCTCTCTTCTCTTTTCTTCAGATCCTAAAAAATGGAGAATTTTGGTGCCAAAAATAGGCAAAATCAAAATTTGCAAAACCCAGCAATGAAATCTGACAAATGTTTGTTATCAACACAAATTCTGTTGAGAATTTTGGCAATTGCATTCACATTGGCAGCAACTTCCATCATTCTCACAAGCAAACAAGCGGTTACTGTATTTGGCATTGAAATGGATGCACGCTATAGTTATTCTTCAGCTTTCAAGTAAACCAAAATTCAATTTTTTGGGTTTGCTCTGTTTTTTGTTTTTTTTTGAAATTTTAAATTTGGGTATTGTTTTGCAGGTTCTTTGCTATTACAAATATGGTTGGATGTGCTTTCTCTGTTTTGTCCCTGATTGTAGCCTCTGTTCTTGCTCATAAAAGTTCTGACCCAAAGAACTATTTTTACATGTTCATTCATGATTTGGTACGTCCAATTATCAGTAGATCTGGGGAAAATATTTACCAATACAAGTACAATGTTGCATTCATTGAAGTTCATAAGTAACGTCACTCAATATGCATTTTAAATGCCTATACGTAGACGTCACTTACAAATGCATTTTGATTTTTCCGGAGACAGAGACAGATAGATAGGATTTAATTAATGAATAAAGAGTTTGTCTTCGAAAAAATACAGTTGTTTACTTTACTTTTTACGTTTTGAATATTTTAGTGAAAATTCTGACTCCGCTGAGTGCAGATTACGATGGCATTGCTACTGGCTGGATGTGCAGCAGCAACAGCAGTTGGATATGTGGGAAAATATGGACAGACACATTCAGGATGGCTGCCAATTTGTGATCATGTTGACAAATTTTGTCGAAAAGTTTCACATAGTATCATGCTTTCTTACATTGCAATGATACTCTACCTTTGCCTCACTATAATCTCAGCAAATCAATCCAGAAAAATCATAGTTTAACAAGTAGAAACAATTATCAATGTTGTTTTAGTTTTTGGTGTAATCATTACTTGCTTCTAGTTGCTAGCTACTTTTAGTATATAATATATGAAATTATATTATCCTTTTTGTAGCTATCTTGTTCTACGTGCATTATTTGGATTTAGCTATTGTTATACGGCGATAAAAATAATTTTTAGCGATAATAAATATATATATTGATAAAAATGATAAAATTTTTAAGCGATAATAAATATATATATTGATAAAAATGATAAAATTTTTATCGACATTAGTTAATCGTCATTGGAATCAGTGTCGCTACAAACTTTAATGACATTCATAAAGAGTGCTATATGTTGCTAATATTTTTCACTTAGTGTTACTTGAAATTGAGAGTGGCGTCTAACTTTTTGATAGATTAATATAGAGAAGTATTCAGATCAGTCATGCAAAGGTTATTAACTTTCTAAATTATTCAAAATTTACAATATTTATGTATTGTAATTATAGTTTATTTTCAAAAACAAAGGTTAAGAAGATGATAAATTTTAGTTAATTTTGTTTTTCGTAAATATATAAATATTTTTAATGATATGCTGACATTATCTAATATGAGACAGAGAGTTATAAATTGAAAACAAAGCCTCTTGAAACACGGTAAATGTGTCTCATACCTAATCTATAATGCCAAAATTTTATAAACAAGTTATTTATTCTACATTATGAGTTCTTTTAATACTCTACTTATGGCACCAAATTAATTAAATATTAAAGACGGTTTTGTGCACTGGTCTGGGGAGGGAATCGTCTTGTTGAGAAAAAATTAAACAATGCATTAATTAATTAGAGAATAACTAAAGAATTATATAAATTTAAAACTAAGATATTTATATGTTATATTTTATTGATATTACGTTTCAAAAAGAATAATTTTTTTAAAGTTAATAGATGTGTTAGTTAATCTTTTTTCTTCAAAATTACCCTTTTTCTAATGGGATTTTCAACTATTTTTAATTTTTTAAAAAAAGTTTGAGAATAATCAAATTAATGGCATTGACTAACTTTGTTAAGAAGTGTG